CTTCCCTTCCCTTCCCTTCCCTTCCCTGGTGTCTGCCCGGCCTTCTCCCTCGGTGGCCCTTCCTCGGCCCGCCCCGCTGTCCTCGGCCCGCCTACCCGGGCACACCCAGAGCTCCCCCCGCCGCCCCTGCGGGGCTCGGCGTCGCCGGTCTGTCCGTGTCCGTCTGTCTCTGAGGGGAGGGCGGCGCCGCTCGGCGGGGCAGCGGCCGGGGACGGCGATCGGTGTTTGCGTTCGTGTTCCTGTGTCACCGGCAACTCGGCGTGTAGCCCGCGGGAAAAGTGATGCAGCAGTTTCACTCGCTGAATAATAAGCTGATTTTTTTGCAGCTTGGTCGTCGTCTGCCCCAAACCCTCCAAGGAACTTAAAAAAGCAGGGAAGGAAACGCATTTCTGCAGCATCTTGTGCCAGTATTTTACACAGCTCGTGGAAACGTGAACATAAGCTGCTACTTTGTGTGTGTGAAGTCAGGGGTCAAGTGTATCGAAAGTGAGGACAGGCTTGGGACAGGGGCCCACTGATTTGTTCTAAACTGGTTCTTTGACGGTCGAAGCAGGTGTATACTGTCTTTAGATGTGGCGAGAGATAAGGCAGCAATAACCATGGAACCTGGGATATTTTAAAGATGTCTTTCCCGTACTTAAATTATGCGATCTACACATAGTTTCTTCTTGATTGAGACTTTCTGGTGTTCTTTCAAAACTGCAATTGCAAGGTTTAGTATAGAGACTTACTGATAAAAATGATATGCAAGAAATCAGTCTGTTTACCTGTCCTGGTTGAAAAAAGGGAATAGTAGCCTTCTCTATAAATTACTATGGGCTTTGAAGAATTCTAGTAATGGGTATGAAGATCATAATAAAGACACCACTGATTCCTGGAGAAAATTCACAAATGATAGTGCAATTTAAAGATTTTAAAAAAAAAAATGCATTAAGGTCTCGGGGCTGAAACCAAAGGAAGTTCTTAGTGATCTCTGTTCATTGCTCTTCTTTTTCTAACATGAGTTTTGTCGTCTGTGTCGTTTCAGTAGATGCATGTGTGATGTTGGTTTGGGAGCTGCACAGCTTGTCCCCTGTCACAGGGCACAGAGTGCATTAGCAGACTCTTGGATCTTTTTCACTAGGTTAATCTGTGTTGAGGTAATTCAGTGAGAAATATTTGGGGGAAAAAAAATATCAAATTCCTTATAAATTCTAGAATTTAAGAAGGCCTAGTAAAAGTAAAGCCATTACTTTTCCTAGTGAACTGATTGTTTTTATTGAAATATAATTACTTTCTGAAATATCTCTTAAGTTTTAGTAGAGTTTTGCTGTTTCAGTACAAGGTTTTTTACAAAGTCAGAAAAATAGAATTGGTGTTAAAAAGTTTAATTATTTCTTTAACAGATAATGTTAGATTAGTGGAATTGATATTTTCAACATACTTTGTTTGTGTATGAAATTTTAGTAGTTTCAAAATTTATTGAAATGT